ACAAGAATCTTTGAATTTTTTTTAATCACATTATTGTTATATTTTTATATGACCTTGTTTTACATCATTTACTGCCGAGGCGGAAGATGAAATTGTCATATAACGATTAATTGCAATAATTATTTTTAATCCAAAAAATTGTGAGCACAGATTTTAAAGTTCACTCTAATTAAAATGGTTGAAGTGTGTTTGAAGTGATCTCACTTCACATTCATAATCTCTCTTTTTTCTATAAAGTGAGGAAGAAGGAAGAGTAAAATTGTCAATATTTAATAAACTCTGTAAAACAGGTGGATTATTAAAAACCAATGAAAGGATCTATTCTGAACTACTTTAACTATTCAGGAGAAATAACTCACAGTTACTGAAATACTTTATTTACACTTAATAAAATACTTGTTATCGCAGATGTGTTATTCATTTTTCAGCTTATGAAATCTGACATAATCTCTTCTCGCATTTTAAATAAAATTGTTACTTACTCTAACTTGATATCTCGTTACCTCCGAACTTTTTATGGTTCCTTTTCATGGGATGCTAGTACTACATCTTTCCCCTAAAAAAAATTATTGAAATTAAATTACAATTTGTAAAATTTCATTTAATACTCAATTTCAAATTTCTCTCTTTTACTTGAGAGCACAAATAATATTTCTATTTTCATCAATTTATTTCTCTTTTACAATTTTTACACAAATTATTAAGTAAATTTCAAATTTCATCTTTGTAATATTTCTGCAACAATAAATGTCATTCAAATGATGCATAAATGTCAAATAAATGTCGTTATTTTATGAATTTAATATTTTCAATAATAATAATTCCAATTTTATTATTTTTTTTTTTAATTTTTCTCTTCTTATTTTCCAAAGTATCCATAGTTCATAATACATTAATGTGTAATGTAAATGTTCTCTCATAAAGTCGTCAATTTGAATTATAAACAAATAATATGAGAGCAAATAAACTATGCTATTAAAATGTATCATTGATTGGGTACTAAGTGTATATGATGTGCATGTAGAATGTATATTTGACTGACGATGTCATTCACATTATCAAGTTAAAATGAGAGCATATAAGTATAATATGTAAGTGCAAGGTCCTACGAAATTTCCGATAAATTTATATTATAAAAAAACGAGTAATTTTCCTTTAAAATAATTTTAGTTAGAAAATTTTATTTCATCATGCACTGTCTAGTTTGCAAAAAATTCTCGTAGTAAGAAAATTACTTCTAAAGCTTGCAGTATGTTAACACAATTCCATTATTAGCAGAGCCCGATTCAAAAAGCAAATCTTCTTTTATTAAATTATAACATTTAAAATCTCAAAAAATTATGTTTTAACTTTTAAAACGTTCACTAAATTATAAATAAATTTTAAGAAAAAACTTTCTTACAACTCTGTACAATAAACATTCATATGTACAAAAATTTATAAATGTTGCGAGAACAAAATATGACAATACATTATTATGTGTGGTATAAGAAAATAACTCTTGTATGCGCTCTAAGGAACATAATGTAAATATTGTACAATGCTATACACATATTATACTTTATTTCAAATATCATTTCCAATTTAAAATACAAATAAAAGTAATTGAAAATTGTTAGTATTATCTGAACTCCAGATGAACTTAAAGAGCATCTGAGCGATAATGTCACTCTAATATTATTATTACATTATATGTACATAATATGTATATTAAGTTACTAGCAACACATAAACACATATGAATATGTTAACTAATATTATCTTCCTTTTAATTCTCTTTATTCTTTATTTGGATTTGAGTCTCCTCCGTCTTCATATACGTATAATAAGTATGTTCCTTCCTACCTCTTCCATTTACGGTATGATAAAATAATGATAGTTTATGTAAATAGTCTTTAAACTACTCGTATATGCATGTCCATATCCGCGTATATTATGTCTCCCCACAATAATATCCTAAAAGTAAAACACCTGACAATTCATATAAAAAAAAAGATACTGTATTATAGTGACTCAAGTAAATGGCATATGAGCGCTGTAGTATATAAGAGAGGAAAAAGGTGAATAATGATAAAAAAAGAGCGAATCAAAATGTATTACAAGAGCGAAAGATATTCGTATGTTCTTTTTTTATACGTCATGATATTCGAAATTCTGATAATTTATGGCATCATATAAAATTGATATTGAAATAATTTTATATGAACTTAAATTATATTTGTATATGACAAGGAATATTTTGCATAATACACGTCTTAATGTATCTTAAAGGAAAACATAACCAAAAAAAAGTTTAACATTATTTAAAGGTAAATTAACATTATCCTTAAAATTTATAGTTATACATACATAACTATATAAAGATACATTTGATTTTACCTTTCATTTAAGGTTTCCTTTAGCGAAAACTTTGAAAGCAAGAAAGATTTTTAAGAGTTTGTTAACAATTATTTTCCATTCCGAATCCGTGAATGACTGTTAATATCATTAATAAAACGAAAAGAGAAACGGATGCAGTTCAGACATTTCGCTAATAATAAAAAGTTGTTTTCTTATAGATTTGTAAATGTCTTTTCATTTTTTTTTGTAAAATATTCGTAAACGTTTATTTTAATGAGGTATTATAAATTTTATAATCAAAAAATTCATTCATGTACTGGATATGCACCTATGAAATATAAGAGTTCATCGAACCCGAACTGAACAAAAGCAAAACGATATTTTAAAGTAGAATGATTTCACTCCTAAACTTGTTGGTTAGAAGTGAAAACTTAAAAAAATTAATCAGCATTTGAATTCGGAATGATTTGGTACATTTAAAAAATTAATTTTTTGAAATTTCTGCAAAGATCTCGAAGTCAGGGTCGAATTAGGAGTTGTAGCCGAAGTAGGAATCAATTCGGAGTTATTTCGGAGTCGGATTCGAAATCGGAGTTAAATTCGGAATCGAAATTAGCTCCGAATTTATTGTCACGGTCTTAAGAGCTTTCAGCACTTAACACGAAAATTGTTAAATTTTTATAAAATTTTAATATAGTGATTCTCTTAAGAATATACGAGTAATATCCTTTTATATCTAATAGTAACCACACAATTTTTATATGTAATTTTCTTGTTATTAACATTATTAAATACAATGAATATTCTTATTTATTTATTGCAAGTACATGACGTAGATAGTACACGATTCTTTCAATGTATTCCATAACTTCATTCACCCTCTAATATTAAATTTATATTCTTAAAAAATAGAAATTTATTTTTCAGTCACAGAATTTTATTGAGTGATTTATATTAATGGTGATACGAACTGACTATTATTTGATGAAGTACAAAATATTTTTCAATATAGTACACATATAAAATTTTATGTGAATTTTAATAAAAAGTAAATATACAGAAAATAATAATTATTATATTAAAATTAATGGCAAACGGAAAAATATTATACCTATACAATGAGATGCAGTCAAAGGAAATGAAAGAGTCGACGGACTGGCGAGTTTGGGGAAAGTTGAAAAACATTATAAAAGAGGAAACTAAAAGAGGAGGGGGGGGGGGGGGGGGACTAACTTATTTTGATTCGGCCTGCTGCGAACTTGTGCAACGGCAAGGGCTCTGGAGCCGAAGGAGAACGGGGCAATAAACGAGAGATCTGCTGGCACAGCGTTGGGGTGGAGGGGGGTGGTATTTCAGTATACGGTTGGCATTTGACGGGACAATATTTATTATACAATTTGGAAGGATATAGGTTTGACGAATTGAAGGAAATTGAACTTTTTCAACAGATTTGGATGGATTTAGTGGGGACAGGTGTGTCGTAATCCGATGATGATGATTCCACTATTAATCTAGTATTGGATTGCAGTATTTAGGGTTCCCTCATCCCTCTCTAAGTAAGTAACTAAACTACACAGTGAGTTCTCTATGTAACTATGGATCGCCTATAAATGTAAGTGAATTACAAAACAATTTTCAAGAATGGAAAATATCCGCTTCCTACAAGTTCGGAAATCTTAATTACTTCTTACTTCTACATAAATACCATCTCTTAAGACGATTTACAAGTATTTCACTTAACATTGTAATAATTTTTGTAGAAAATATTTATGAAGACTACATAAAAGAGCCCCCTCCATTTTTAAATAATTTTTATGCCTCACAATTCTATTTATTTTTCATTATCTTTAAACCCCATATATAAATATTTATTAACATCCTTTTGGAAAAGCATAAAATAAATATTGTTGAGAAATAAAAATAATAATCACACACATTTCAATTTTTTCTGATAAAAAAACAGCACGTGAAGAAATTTATTTATCTTTATTTTTTTTCGAGGAAGATATTTGTAATTTAACATTTTTATTATTATCTGATGTAAAATATCAATTAGTGAGAAGGTAATATAATTGATCATAAAGAGAAAAGGAGTTACCATTTAATCCATCAAACTGTAGAAAGACAGACAAAAAAGGAGACTCTTGTTTTTTACCATGCCTGAGAGCCGATTTTAGTGATGACTTCGTTGTTAAAATAATATAGTAGCAAAACAGAACATTAATATATGTAGGAGTGTGGCTAATTTGTGTTTACTAACTACGTCAGCCAACTAACTTAAATACTGTCAAAAATACATCCGACCCTAACAAATAGCTCGAGTTTCGTAATATAAGCAGTATAAGAGTTTCGGAAATACTTTTAATATATTTGGTTATATAATCAATATAAACAACTATATTAATTTATAATTCATTATTTCTTAAGCTGCACTTAAGCTTTTTCGCTCTCTTAGTAATATGTTTTTTCCAGATGAAGTTCTCCAAAACCTACATACGAGACATAAAATAATTAATTAACTTAATGTACATACAAAAAATATTCTTTATAACTTCAATATTCTTGCAACAATTTAAAAATATAAAAAAAACAAATTGATAATAAAATATTTTTATTTTTTCTCTCTAAATTATTTAAAAAATTTTCTTTTCTAATTTCAGGCGTGATGGGGCTCCGACCCAAAATCCTTGATCACAATATATTAAACAGGTAAATTTCTATTTTAAAATGTTCAATTTCATCCACACCATATTAAAAAACCTCATAAATATTTTTATCATTTAAATTCTAAATTGTTATTATTAAATTTTCAAGATTTTTTTTTAAGTACATTGAAGAAATTAAGTAAAAGTTCAACTATAGAAATAAAAGGCCATCTTAATGCAATTTATCTAATAAACAATGTTTTAAAATTTTTCAAGGTTAAAAATTCATGAAATTTCATTATTTATTTTTTGAACTTTTGGTGTACCACAAAGTACACCGTATACACACACATATTTGTTAACGTAAATTTTGATTTCAATTTTTCAATGGCAATGAGCTCTTATCATGCTACGCAATATTTAGTTTCAAGAAAAAGGAAAAAAAATAATAAAAAAAAACATTAATAATTCAATTTATTTTCAAGATAAATTTAGTAAACAAAATTAAATAAATTTAAGCATAATATTTACCGTTTCTTAAATAACGGTAGCTCTTTTTTTTTTTATAAAAATGTTACTGTACTTGAACATCTTTGAAGTGCTTTGAGAGTAAAATATTTCCACTTTGATTGCATTTAATTGAGCTATTGGTAAATTTGATTAAATGCGGTACTTATGCTGCCATCTTAATTTTCTGGTGCTTTCCGACAATATTTTGCTTGAAATTTCGACACTTACTTGAAAAATAATTTAGTAGTTGCGGTATGCTTTGAAGTTGTCTGTCAAATTCCCTGTAAAAAATGTAGTCAATAAGGTTAAAAATAAGAATTTTAAAAAAATTTAAAAAATACCGAAAATCTTAAGGTATTCAGGCTACAGCACAAAAACTGTGTCATTTATTTTTAAACTGATCTTTCTTCTATACTTAAACTTTCGTCTATTGTGAAAACTGACTTCAAGACAAACAAAAATTATAATTTAAGCTTATGATTTTGTTTTATAAATTAAAATCTAAAACATAAAATAAATATTATATGAGCGGAAGTTAATAAATTTCGGAAATGAGAACATCAGATTTTTGTTAAAATGAAAAAAAAAAATCTAAACAATTTAAAAGAATAAAAACAAAGTGATTCATTTAAAAATTCTGAAAAAAAAAACAATAAATTCTTGATTATACAAAAAACAAACCGAAGAAGTACTTTTGCGAATTAGATTAAAAATTTTGCACAAAATCGCGAAATTTACACTAACAACAATTTTAAATTTATTAAAAATTAAATTTTACTCGTTAGCATATTTCTAAAATATTTGAGTAATTAAGATTAAATTTTCATCAATTTATATTCAAAGAGAAAAAATTGTGAGCAGGCTTTTCCGACAATAAAAATTATACTGAATTTTAGTCAGAATGACAGCACAAACTTTGGTTCCATGTATTAGATCATATTCGGTCAGTGTAAATGCTATGTACTACTTATAGATAAATCATAATTTTAGCCAAAAATTCAATTACACAAAAAAATTTATTCACAGAAACTTACAACAAATTGTTCCAAAAAAAAAAAAAACTTAAAAACTTTTTAAGAAAATAAAAAATGCATCTTCTTAGATAATAATTTTAAAAGTCAAGCACACGTAGATTATATAAAGAAGGAACGTTGCATGCACATTGAAATTTGGTTTCCCAAAAAAAAACCTTAAGCGGTAACTTTCACTTCAAAATCATGTGACATTCTTAAATTATTATTCTTCTTTATTTTGATGATTTAGTTATGAAACTTTTTCTATATTTTTAGCCAACTACATAATTTCACAGCACATCTTAACACTATAACTACTCTAGCATTTGTATTTTATCAACACACAATCTAATATAATTGTAAAATACATGATTTCTTGATTCTTGAATTGAAAACAAAAACATCTTGAAGTGGTCAGCACATAACCGAACACAACGTGTATTATATACAAGATTATGAAGATACCCTTTAAACACCAATTATTGCTGACTACTGATTTCTGACAAAAGTTAAATATTTTCACATACAGTCAAACAAAGCTTACATAAGTACATAAAGTATCAAGTTAAACTGTTGAATACTTTACTTAAAATGAACAAACGGCCTGTAAAAAAGCGACCAATCCGTGCCATAGCCAAAGTAAACTCATATAAAAATTTTTATTAAAATCAATTCAACCGAATTTGAAATACACACGTGCTCACAGAGACCGACATACCTATATCTGTCTAAAAAATAGTTTATTTTTTTCTTCAACGCTTCCCTGTTATCGTGCGTTTCAACTTAAAACTTGATATTCGATATTTGGTGTCATCTCCATAGCCTCCCTTATTGTATAGAATGCGGTCGATAACAAATGAGATTTGTCTCAAGTGTTTTTTTGAAGAAAATATTCTCAACCACAATACCTTTGTATGTACTCACAAATAATTTATCATTTTTGAAAAAGGATAGCATGAAATAACCATATAAGAAAATAAATTTTAAACTTTGAAAATATTTTTCTGTCACTTTATTTTTGTTAAAACAAACAAAATAAAAAACGTCCCAAAGGAACACTTTTTTAAAAACTTATTCAAGTTTTCTTCTTTTCCATTTATTTTAGTTTTTCAACAAAATCAAAAAAAGAAAAATAATCAAAAATTGAGAAGAAATAGGTTCTAGTGTTTTACTGCAAAATATCAGAACACTTATAGAATGGGATACATGTAATGTATTTTAGTAACACATCCAAGAGAAAAATAGTTATACAAATTAAATTTCAAAGTGTTTTTAATTTTTAGACCATGGTTTACACGTCAACTTCGTTCTCATTCCAAAATATTGTTGGTCAACTAAGCATAAATTATCGATCTGATGATCATGTCATCACGCCCATCACTTTCATTTGTAAATAAAGAAACTCTTGTCAGCAACAAAAACTGGAATTCATTACCTTTGCAAATTGTGTGCAAATGACATTTTGGGAAAGTGATGTAGTGTTTATTAATTGGAAAATTTACTTTATACACTCTTTTTACCTACGATCTATCATTTGACAAGAGTTCATCAAACTGTAAATTTATTTGTATACCTTTTATGACCAATTTTTTAATATTTTAGCATGAATTATATGCTCATTAGTTTCGGATTTTTTTAAATTATAATTTTTAAACTTCTTTTATAGCTAATTATCACCTATTTTAAAATAAGGGTGAAATTAAATAATAATTTCTTAAAATTGAAGCGCAAAAATAAATTACTAATAAAGTTTAAAGCAAAAATATGCTTTACAATTTATGATTAATTTGTCATTCTCTATCTTAATTTCATGCTCATTTAAAAATTAGATTTTCAAATCATTTAATAAAGAAATCAATAAGAAACCTTATAATTTATAAGTTCTTAACACCTAACCAAATTATTTTTTTCGTAAATAAATGTTACCAAAAGAATGTTAATCGCAGTAGCACCACCTCTTTAACACTATTTATAGGTCAATTTTTAAACCTGTTGCTCTTCGCTTTCTTTTATATATTCAGTAAAAGAGAAATATAAGAAAATATCCAATTAAAATTCCGAAAATTAAATATTTATGTTACGGTCATTTATGTATTGGTATATGTATAACACATAAACTTAAAAATTAACAAATTTAATATTTATTTTTCTTTTAATTTTATATTTTAAATTTGTTAAATACTTTTTTTTTATATTATTATCTATTTCAATTTTTTCAATTGGGTTTGGCACTATAATCATAATTGTTGTAATGAAATTTTATTCGGGGTTCGGCTGTTCGGGTTATCAAAAAAATAGTTGAAAAGAAAGAAGAAGACGATATTTTACGCATAACAGCAAATAAATCCAGAATATAATTATCTAGCCTAGCCTGACATTTTAACTATACTTATACATATGAAAAAGAAAATTTCAAATAAACAGGTACAAGGAAAAGAGAACACTAATTTAATTCTAACCTACAAAAAATAACAGAAAACAAACAATGAAGGCATTATAATTGCTCAATTTTCTTTTTTCTATGTTTCTAAAAGAGTTTAACAATTGTGTTGATGACTTTACTACTGTTATCAGCATTATTATAATAATTTACTCTTACTATTATAAAAGAATAAGACTTTAGTTGAGATTTTAATAGGAGTATGTAAAGCAATCACTATTGTTAGTGTTGACGTTTAGGGAGCCTTAAACAAATAAAGCGTAAAATTTTAAAATAATATTAAATATTTAAACATAACAAATTAGTAGACTGCATATTTTTAAGTAATTTACTCTCATTTCTCTCAAATATTAATGAATATAAAATTGTCTCGCAATTATATTAAAGAATATTTTCGGAAAAATTTCTAAAGTTCTCACTCAATTACATGAATACAATGATATCTAAAATTAGTTTGTCATGGCGTATACCTTAAGAATTTTTTCAAAAATTTATTACGCTACGCTTCGGTGCATATTTAGAATATTCTGGCTAGATTATATCACCGCAAACTGCTATGTACGAATTTATTTTCATTCTAAGCATACGAGTATAATGTTTTTTTGTTTTTGTATTTTTTTGGTAATAAGGTTAATGGTTCACTATTACAATTTCCGATTATACACTTAAAATTCTATTATTTATGAAAACGCTTTTTTAATAATACATAGGCATACCTACATACAAATATCTGTATATATACATTTTATTTCCAAATTACTTTCACGTTCAGTATCATTGCCAAAATATGAAAATATAAATGACATAAGAAATAATGTTTTTTTTTCGCACTGGTGGCATTAGGGTATATCAGCTTCAAAAATGTACGCGGTACAATACAATGCTGCTTATGTAGTTTCAATTTATTCTCATTTCTCTTTTTTTGTTCTACAAAAATATGTTCTGTCTTCGCAGTCTCTATGTTAAAATAATTTTACATTACATAAAGAAATTATGTTTTGTGTAGATTTTAATGAAGTGAAAAATTGTGTCAATATTGTAATTCATAAAAAAAAAAATTTTTGACGGTCGGTGACTGTCAAAAATTTATTGATAAATCAA